TCCTCTATAACCCCTCTTGCCAATCCATACTCCTTGTATGCTTTTCGGAATGCCTTTACACGACTTCCTTGGCAAGGATCATCTCCCTCCTCCCTGCCTAGCAATCTGAATGCACCACTTAAGCAATTTACCACCGCATCCACAGTTGATGGTGATACCACAGGCTCTCCGTCACTATCAGTAGTTCGGCACCTACTCTCAATCTCCACCAACCATTGACTGCGTAAGAAGGAAAGAACATCTAAATCATTGCATGGCATACAACTCCTGCTCACTTCATTACGTTCTAACCACTCGTTCAAACCAAGAAGCAATTTTTTCATTCCACTTCGCCATCGCTTCCCTGGCCCGAACTCTTCTATCAGTTTGCTGCTCCATTCTAGTCCCGCTTGATAACTCCCAGCTATTTGCGGCGTCGCTCGTTTCTGCCTCCAGCTTCCATCGCTCATTCGCTCGTTCCACCACTCCCTGCGAGATGACACGTCACTTGTGGGATGATGGAGGGATTTGGGGAGGCATAGGAGGTGTGTGGGCCTGCGGCCCCAACTCTATGACTCACTTCTGAGCATTCGGCCTTCATCAAGGACTTCGTTTTTTTCCATTTTATCTCGACAAGACCTAGGCAGCAATTGTCCTACTCGAGCCCTTCTAGTTGGTACCTACTCGACAGGCCAAGATGCAACCATCACTTCAAGCATTTGTCAAGATACTTTTCATTTGGTCACTTCAGCTTAACTGTCTCAGGAGGCCTCGTCACCGACGATCTTAAGTTTCAACAGATGGCACTATTTTCTAAGATTTCAACTTCTTGTTCTCCTAAAAATCAACTGTCTCCCGGAGGCCTTCTCATTGTTGATCTTCAGTTCCAACAGTAAGGCACTATTTTCCTAATTTTAAATCTTATTTTCAGAGTCTACGGATGGGTGAGTGTTGAGGCCAAGATCTACGAAAGGACTCAGTGGAACTTACCCTGCGGGAAGAAGACCCTCTGAGGACCGACCGCCACTGGACCCTGGAGCAGGGAGAGTATAAGTAACCGGCACGTGACCGATCGCTGCAGGCTGACTCTACTCGCGCGGAGCGGCTTCGGGATTTCGTCCGCCGGCAGCTGCGCCCATCGCATAAGCAAACCTGCGGTCACAGCACAGCCACCAAGTCTGCTCAGAGGCCGAGTTGTTTTTCTCACCAAGATCTTGGCGGTCCCGCCCACCCTCGATTGTCCCGCGGTGTGTGGGCCTGCGGCCCCAACTCTATGACTCGCTTCTGAGCATTCGGCCTTCATCAAGGACTTCGTTTTTTTCCATTTTATCTCGACAAGACCTAGGCAGCAGACAAAATTTTTTAACTTTTCTGTAGAAGAAAAAATATTGTGGCGAGTAAGTGCAACCAGGCCTCCGGTTAGACACCCATCGGCGAGTAGTGCAACTAGGCTCTAAGAGCTGTGCGTTCCCGAGTCATCGCAAAATGCTTCGCAGTGCAGTTTCGATTCGTATGTTCTCGTCCCACGGGTAGAATGGCGCCACTACTCCCCTTGCTAGTGGCACCGTGCCGCCGATGTGGCCAGGCCTTCGCTGGTGGAATCGGCCCGTAATGCCGAGCATATTCGGTCAGCCCTTGGGATGCACACAAAATAGGTAAGACAGCAATCGGCGGCGCGGCCTCTCGGTTGGGTGTTTACGAGCACGTGACTCTGTAATGACCATGTCTCTGCCTTCTGTTATTATTGTTTTTCGTTCACTCTCCCCCAAGTACAAAACACCGACGAGGATCTGGCCAATGGCCCATCTGCGCGCAAGCCAAACGGAAGCGCGAGCGAAAAAAAAAACCGTCACGCTAGGAGTTGGGCCTGGTCCAGAATAGGAAATAGGAAACATCTCTCTCTCTCTCTCTTTCTCTCTCTCACACACACACACACACCGCTCCCCTTTTTTTCTGGTACGACTCTCTCTCTCTCTCTCTCTCACACACACACACACACACACACACACACACACGAAATAGGAAACATCTCTCTCTCTCTCTCTCTCACACACACACACACACACAGTCCCCCTTTTTTTCTGGTACGGCTCTCTCTCTCTCTCTCACACACACACACACACACGCGCACACGCATCAGCATCATCAGAGGTATATTGGGGACAGGCAGAAACGACATGAGGTGTATGTTGTAACGGTTTCGAAACTTAGGGAAAATCTAATAATAGTCTTATGAAACGGACGAAGGAGGTTCGAGCGGCGACGCTTCAGCGAAAGTAGAGGAAATGTGAGAGGAGAAACCGGGAGGAGATGACAAGCTCGCAGTTGACCAGTCGAGCGGCTGTGTAACTTTATCCTATCGCAGTTGAAGTGGACTTGTCAGTGTTGGCACTCTTGATCGATCCAGGTCGTCCGAGGGTTTTGATGGATTGATGATTGATTTCGCAGCTCGCTTACGGCGCGGATGAGCGTTTGGGAGGCCGAGGGGGCAGTGTAGCACGAAGAGCAGTACTGTTGAAAGAGAGCGTAAGGCCGGGGGAGGAAGTCCCTGCATAGGTGTGAGCAATGCTAACTCTAGGTGACTCTTTTTGCAGCTTTGGTAGAAAACGGAGGTCACAGGAAAGGCTCCCCATTGCACTGCCATTTCGCAGCTCGCGTGCAACCCGATGCAATTGCTTATCCTCCTGCGCCATTCTATTCCGTTACTCTCCTGCTCTTCTCGAGGGGAACTCTCCGCTCGTGCCAAGTCGGTACTTTCGTTGCTGTGCTGGAGTGAAGAAGAGAAACCTTCTCTTCCTGCTGATAAGAGGCGCTGCGACCGCGGCGGCAGAAAGGCATAAGGGTGGGTGGCGATTGAGATCTCGTTCCAATGGAAAGTCGGATCTGTGTTGAACATTCATTGCACAATCAAGGGGGCGAGGTGGACTGTCGTTAGGTAGATTGATAACTGGTTGCATGAATCACCGGCATCTGTACGTAGATCGACTGTAGAATCAGCGAATCACGACCTCCTCGTATGAACGGCCGCTGACGTCATCGTTGGTATGTATTCTCGGTCCTCACGATCGAGGATTCGAGGTCAGGAATCCTGCGTGCAACATGTACGTGTCTTCTTCTTCCCGTGTCTCGTCATGGCCGCAGATACGCGAAGAGGCTTGATGGGCGCATGAAGAAGCAATAATGATCACACACACACACACACACACACACACACGCACAGAGAGAGAGAGAGAGAGAGTGGGGCCTGTCTCTTATACACATCTAGATGTGTATAAGAGACAGGAGAGAGAGAGAGAGAGAGAGAGAGAGAGAGAGAGAGAGAGAGAGAATGAGACCGATCGGTTGGGGTACTAGGGCGATCCGGCTGATCTCAGGCCTTGACTGGCTTCATCATCTGACGCTCTCAGTGCGCTGTCGCCTTTCCTCATTGCGTTCCACTTTGAACTGTGCATAGAGCCATATTCCTTCCCGCCGACCCCGACCCCTCCCCAACACCGGATTCTACCCCTACGCTGTCCCCGCTTGGCCGGGTCTGGCTGCCCCTTTGCCTGCTTCGGCGGACTTTATACATCGTTCTCGACGTCGTGGGGGGAGCTCAGCTCCCTCGGAGGCGAGAGGTGTGGGATGCTGGCTGTCGCGATGTACAATGTCGATCGAGGTCTATGTTTCTGATGTATCGTCGAAAATTCCACGAAATAATAGTCTGGTATGTGAGCTTTCGCTGATTCGACTTCTTTTGGGCGTCAAAACATCGATCCATATGTATTAACGTACTATGTGGTATGCATGAGATTCTATTTAAATACGTAACGTTTTCATGTATATGGGTATACTTGGGGGGGGGGGGCAGAGGGAGGGAGAGAGAGAGAGAGAGAGAGAGAGAGACAGAGACAGAGAGAAAGAGAGAGAGAGACAGAGAGAGAGAGAGAGAGAGAGAGATTGGAAATCTGCTCTTAGGTGATGGTCGTTTGACAAGGCGTTTATGCATGATAGACTCTAAGACTTGGGGAAAAGAACATTGCATGGGAGGGAGCCGCAAAGCGCAAAGCACAAGTGAGGAAGTAGGAAATAATTGTTGCAGAAATCGGACCATTCAGGTGATCGATTTGATGTATAGCATCTCTAATGTACCACTGCCTTCGCCTGAACGCAACTCACGCTGATCATGAATGTAAAAGCTATGTTTCTCGGACCATTCAGGTGATCGATTTGATGTATAGCATCTCTAATGTACTACTGCCTTCGCCTGAACGCAACTCACGCTGATCATGAATGTAAAAGCTATGTTTCGTGTCTGATACAGTCATAATGAAGGTCCGTTGTGTTCAGGGGATAACTGTACTATCGTCCACTGTCTTTTCGTTGACAGCTGAAATTTCGAAGAAGTCGGAAGAACCAGTTTGCCACAACTTCTTCGATGAGCAGCTGGACTTTCCGGCAACATTTCCCTCTAAGCGTGCGCGCTTGCGTGTAAGAATCTGTGTGTGTGTGTGTGTGTGTGTGTGTGTGTGTGTGTGTGTGTGTGTGTGTGTGTGTGCGTGCGCGTGCGTGCTTGTATGTGTGACTGTCTCAGGAAAGAAGCAGTTTGGGAAGGTGCAGATGGTCGGAAGTCAAAGCGAGCTTTGGTTTGAAAATTCTCCTATGTACATGATGAAAGCCAAGTTGGATGTGGCGTTTCCTACTTTGCTGATTCTTTTGCTGCCTCTTCTCTACCGTCTGTGTTCCTCTTCCTGCATAGGTCACTGTAAGCCGCTACACGAGAGGATACGTCGTTGCATCACGGTAAAAAGCGGAATCGTGCCCCTGCGCGCGAGGGACTTCGCCCACAACGCGAGCGAGCGAGCGAGCGAGCGAGCGAGCGAGAGAGAGAGAGAGAGTGTAAGCCAGTAGAAAGAGTAGATTGAGGGGGAGAGGAAGTCAGGGAGGGAGGGAAGGACATAGAGAAGGAAAGTGAAAGGGAGGGAAGGAATAAAAAAGGAGTGCTATGTAGTTGGGTGGATCATGGCCACCGAAGCGTGGCTGCGCGTACACGGACAGGGAGGCAGTTGCTGTCGCTATCCTTGACACGTGGTGAGCAAGGTGTACCCTTGACAAGATCCGCACTGCACCGGCGCCTGCAGGCGGCCGGTCTCCGGCGGCCACGTGTCCGACAGAAGTACAATCGACGATCGAGCGACAATGGTGGCAACTGGAGCTGCTGCGATGGTCGCCACTCCCAGGACGAAGAATGTGATGAATGGGAATGGCAATTTATCGTCATTGTCCGGCGCCATGGTCTTCTGTCACCGAGCGGACTCTTCAGCGGAGACGGAGAGCGACGGTCTGAAAGAGTGGCTGCGCGATCACGGCTCGGCCTCGCTTCGGAATCATGGTAGGACAGCGCAGGGCGATCATGGTTCGGAAATCAATGGTAACGGCGGCGCATTAACGGCATGTAACGGGGCGATGGAAGTCAATGGTAACGGCGGCGCATTAACGGCGTGTAACGGGGCGATGGAAATTAACGGTAACGACGGATTAACGGCGTGTAACGGGGCGACTGATATCAAGGGCAACGGAGCATTAACGGCGTGTAACGGGGCGACTGAAAGCAATGGTAACGGCGGCGCATTAACGGCATGTAACGGGGCGACGCAAATCAATGGTAACGGAGCATTAACGGCGTGTAACGGGGCGACGAGGACGGCGGACGATAATAGGGGTCATGGCAACGGCTTGGCGGCAAACGGGTGCAAGTTGAACGGGGACAGCGTCGGCAAAGGAGCAGGCGTGGTCGGGAGCTATGGCAAGGAGTCCGGCTCGGGCTCGCCGGAAGGGAGGAAGATGGCGGGCTATCGGCGGGCAAGCAAGGGGTCGAGTATGGGGAATGGCTCGGTGAAAGTGTGCTCGGTGAATGGCTCGGCGAACGGCTCGGGGAATGGTTCGGTCAAAGGTTTGGTGAAATGCTGCGATGGTGAAACAGAACGGGTGGTTGTGGCGACGACTGAGATGAACGGCCACGGCTTTTCGGGGAATAAGGGGTCGATCTTGACGGAGAAAACATCAAGAACAACGATGGCGACGACCTCAGATCTGGCGACCAAGAAGACGGCGATGGAGGCGCAGAGAGATAAGGCTGTGTTTACGACGAGTGCCGATCAGATTGGCGACATGGCGTTGAGAACTGTCAGCACGGACAACAAGCGGGGCAGCTGTTGCGAGTCAGTGCTCGACGGACCGGTCATGAAAAATGACGAGTCGCCGCTGCAGAACGGCCATGGACTGGTCGCTGAGCTGCTGTCTTCACCAACAACGCCGTGCAACGGACGACTGAGCGAGAACACGTCGTGCAACGGGGTTGGACTCAGGAAGCAGTCGAGAGAGAGCTGCCATGGCGATGCTGACATTGACCCTGCCGATGATCTCGACCGCATTAGGAGGAAGACGACGAGGACGAAGAAGAAGAAGAATAGGAGACTGCTCTGCTGTTTGTGCGCCTCCAAGGTTAAGGCGGTGCCGCCAATAACGGTAAAGCATCAGAGGAAGGATAGCCATCGTCGTCTCAGCCCGCACAATGATAATGATGCCACCCAAACCGCAACGTTGTTGGATGATCCATGCACAGAAGGCCTACATGCTCTGCTTGACGACCTCAAGGACCTGGAGCGAAATGCCATCGACTTGGCGAACCAATATGCTGCGACGATTCAAGAAATGGACGTGTGAGTGAATACGTTCTCTTTCTCTCTCTCTCTCTCTCTCTCTCTCTCTCTCTCTCTCTCTCTCTCTCTCTCTCTCTCTCTCTCTCTTTCTCTCTCCCCTCTGTGTGTGTGTGTGTGTGTGTGTGTGTGCGTGTGCATGTGTGTGTATGCCTGAGTATGTCTGTCTCCTGTTGCCTCCTCTGCAAGTATGCCTTTGTCTCTGTCTGTCTTTCCCCGTATTTTTGTGTCTATTTGTCTGTCCTTCCGATGCGTGCGACTTCCATGGTCCGTTTGGCGTTGTCGCGATCGCGAGAGGACCTAAGTGGGACAGGTCGGAGTTGATAACGGTCGTTGCGTCGGCCGTCGTTCCTTGAATAGAATGTGAGGCCATCACATCTGCATCTGGGCTAAAGATCGCGTCAGATACAGCTGTGGTCATTTCACTTCTACTCGGGGGGGTATGGAAGGCAGCAGGAGGTGCAGTATGAGGAAGAAGCTTGATTGTCTCAGTTTGCGACTTGCCTTCACAGCCTGGCCAACCCAACGACAAAGACCTTTTGTCATCTTGAGGGCTCAGCCACCGAAGGTCTTTCTCGATGGATCTGGCGGGGGTTACGGGTAGGTACGATCGGCGATGTCCTTCCGGTACTCTGGCGAGAGTATGCCTGAGGATCAACGACGACATGCGGTGTCCATTGATTGATAATTGAATCTGCTGCCACTCTCCATTCTCTCTCTCCCTTTCCTTTTCAATGTCCATCAATCATTGTTTTTGAATCAAATTGTTTACCGCGCAATTACCGCCGCCTGATGTCGCAATCTGCAGTCGTACTGCCGTTTTTTCACCCGAGTAGAACGCCCGGTCATTATCGCGGTTTATATGTACTGAAAGCTCGACCAAACACTGCTATAATGACTGGGCGCTCTATTCGGGTGAATACGGTAGTAATTACGGTCGCAGCTCGCACTTCGCGTTGACTTATCAAGCGGAATGTGCATTGATTGATTGCCATATGATGACGAATCAGGACCAGCGACGAACCGATCGGGCCCAGCATAACTCGCGGTCCTCCTGGAGGCCATGAATGATTATGCATGTAACAAATATCATCACCGTAATTATATGATGATGATTATCATCTCGGACATCATTGTCGTCGATCGATGTCTTGTGTGGCGGCGCCGTGATGCTTTTTTTCCTCAGAGGGACAAAGAGAAGGAAAGACAGAGAACGAAACCGACCCCTCCCGTGAATGCTCGCTTTGAATGATGAATAGAGTGACCGAATTCATTAGATGGCTAAAAATAGTGCGAATGCGCTCTCGCTTCCTAGTGCATCCTTTGCCGTGTCGAGCCCGTTGATCCGCCTGCATCATTCAGGTCATACACTAGGACTTTTTCAGCTGAGCTCTGGACGTAATTGCCGTCAGATACATCCTACGCAAGGTGGAATTGCTGTCAGATACATCCTACGCAAGGTGGAATTGCTGTCAGATACATCCAGGAAGGTCGTAGTGTGAGAGTATGCCCTTCATCTGGTAGACTTTCGATCATTCTGATCGAAGTACTTCCGCTTATCAATCGCGGTTCTGTGGATTAAATTGTAATTTCTTTTTCGAACAGTCGACCTTGAAGTCTAAAACTGTTCCTATTTCCTGCCCTCCCCTCTCCTTCCCTCGCCTTCCCTCCCCTGCCCTCCCCTGCCCTCCTTGCCCTCCGCTCTGCTCCCGTCCCCTCCCCTCCACTCCGCTCCACTGCCCTCCTTGCCCTCCGCTCGGCTCCCTCCCCTGCCGTCCTGGCCCTCCGCTCCCCTCCCCTCCCCTCTCCGCTATCCCCTCTCCGCTATCCCCTCTCCGCTATCCCCTCTAGACGAGGCGAACTCTCCCTCGTTGTGTACGGCGAAGCCGACTTGCGTTTCGCTTTTTGCAAATTGGACATTTCAACCAGCTTCTGATGTTTGACTTCTGTCGGGAGTGGGGACGTTCGTGGCGCGCATCTATTACAGAGATGTCGATCGGGATTGGGACAGAGCACCTGTGGCAGTATGCAAGTAGCCTGATTTCTTCGTTTCTGGCCATTAGTCTTCTTCGTACATGATCACGGTCATCGGGATTGGGACACAGCACCCGTGGCAGTATGCCAGTAGCCTGATTTCTTCGTTTCTGACCATTGATCTTCTTTGTACATGATCACGGTCTGAAATGGCGAGTCCGGGTAAGAGAAAGAATGCGGGCTCGGTAGGAACTTGCCCCTCAGAGCACGTATAGTGGTGAAACAGGTTTTTTCCTCTGCTTCTTCTGCGTCGGTGATCTGCGATGCTTCATATTTATTGGGCGAGATCCGGATCTCGGCAAATGTAATTTTGCAACTCCTTTTGTAGTGCGTGATCCTGGAGGAGTAGGAAGACAATTAGGTGCCGAACATTCTCAAAGATTCTTATTTTCAATCAGTGCCAGGACTTCAGATCGGGTGGGGCTTGTTCGTGATTCCTCGGCATACCTGAGGGCCTGAGGCGCCCCCTTCGTCGCCTCTTGGGACGCTAAGTCTAGCACGTGCCTCTGCCTTCTGCCCTGCACAGCCTGCACATTGGCCTGGCTATGTTAGTAGTAAAATTTTCTGTTGTCTGTTTTTTTTTTCTGCTTATTGACAAAATTTAATCGCACCCAGCCCATGTTGCTGAATGGTACATGCATGGAAATGTCGATGATAATTCCGATCCTGATAGAATCAGATGAATTAGGAAAGTTTTAAGTAATTCCGAAGTACCCATACCTTTGTCGGACTATTGGCTACCCATACCTTTGTCGGCTTTTAGGCTAAAAACAGATCAAGTGTAGTATCTGTTTTGATCAATTTAATATCCAATCCGTGGTCTATTGGAAAACAAAAAAAAAGAAAAAAAAAAATTCCGAAGTACCTGGGGCCAGTTCGATCTACGATGGTACGTCAAGGCCATCGCTCTTTTTTTTGTCAAAAAAGAATAAAACGTTGCAGATAAATAATCACCGGTAAAGGAGCTACCTACCGTCTTATCCCGAACGCAACGTGATCTCATCATGCCTGTATTGGACTGGAAAATTCTGGTTGTGTACATTCATGATGAGGGTACGTTGTGTTCGCGAGAAGATGGTCGTCATAAGTGTGGCCCGATCAGACCTCCTGGCCAGAAAGGTATGCTTATGCTATTTGATCGAGGGGAGAACTACCGTCTTCCCCCGAACAGAAAGCACCCTGAAAATGAACGTGTACAAGGTATGTTTCCGGCGCGATACAGTGAAAATGAGGGTGCGTTGTGTTCAGGGGAAGTAGGAGAGATAGTAAGTGTTCTGGGGGGCAGTGGGGGGCATCAACTCACCCCTTGTCCCCACAAGACATATTCTGTGTTCCATGGGCATAACTCAGTTGGGTGAGTCATAGAACTCTGAATTCGCATGCAGTAGGGAGAAAAAGGTGAAACAGGCGCTGGAAAAAGTAATAGAAAGAAGTACGCATTTGCCCCCCGCGGAAAGGTGAACGCAGTTGGGAAATGGGACTAGGTTGGGGCTGCGGGACTGGGAAGTGTACATATTGGTTTGGGAAAGTGGCACTTTTTCGAGCTTTTCCCGTACTTAGTCTACTTCTTTTAACACCAGTGCGGCAGCTTTTCCCGTACTTGGTTTACTTCTTTTAGCACCAGTGCGGCAATGCGTGGGGCATCAGAAATTTGCTGTAAGAGCATAAATAGGTGTGTGTGGCAAGAAGTACACCTTTGCCCCCATCCCCGGAGACAAGGTGTTACGTAGTTGGGAAATGGGACTGGGTTGAGGCTCCGGGATCGGGAAACGTACACATTATTTTGGGGCCCCATTACATCAGAAATTTCCTGTAGAAGCATAAAATAGGTGCGCGTGGCACAGAGCATAGACTCTGACATGAAGGTGGATTGGCCAATCCTCCCACATACTTCTTTCCATCGTTGACTACCATGGTGATTATATTTGGAGAGTTGGTATTCCAGTGGTGCTCGTGACTGTTCATCGCGCAATTTGCTTGAAAGTCCAAAGTTCAAAGTTCAAACCAGTTTGCCTCGAACGATAACAGTCCAAAGTTCGAAGTTCAAACCAGTTTGCCTCGAACGAAAAAAACAAAAAATTGCCTTTCAGTTGCTCGAGCAGTCACCTCACTGTCCTCTTTTTTTTTTTTTTCCCTTTTTTTTTGCGTACCTTCCTCCATGACAGGCAGTTGCACTCTAGAGAACTCTCTCTCTCTCTCTCTCTCTCTCTCTCGATCTCTCTCGATCTCTCTCTCTCGAGCGTCCTCTGTGTGTGTGTGTGTGTGTCTCTCTTTTGTGCGTGCGCATGCGCACACTTGCAGGAGTGTGCACACTCGCAGGAGTGTGTGCATGTCTTGTGGTGCCTTTTTTGTTGTGCAGGGGCACATGAAGCAGTCAGATCATACAATGATCCAGCCTGAAACAACTGCAGTGTGCCACTGGCCGCATGCGGAGCTGGCAGCCCTCACCACCGTTGGTTCTGCCTAACTCCGAGAGAATTTTGGACTGATTTCATGCTTTCAAACCCAATGAGGTGGTGCCTTCTCTCCGTGCGGATGTGTCCTTTTTTAAGTTGTATGGGTAGGGGAGGGATATTGTTTTCGAGGGTAGGGTTCTTAAATTCTTTCTTCCTCTTCTTTTTTGGGTCTTTAACATGCAAGGCAGGGGGTTGAGAGAGTGCTTTCTAAACACTATATAGTCTGGAAGTCCAATGGGGTTCCTTGAGAGCTTGTCAGACCTTATCTCCTTTCCCCAACTTAGAGGGCATCCTGCCCGACATGCACTCCTCTCATTCATTCGGGTGTGTGCTGAAAGTAGCAAACTTTTGACAACGCCTTTGCTAGCCCTGTGCAAGTCTCTCAGGAGACTCAGGGCAGACACATGGTGCTCTCTCTCTCTCTCTCTCTCTCTCTCTCTCTCTCTCTCTCTCTCTCTCTCTCTCTCTCTCTCTCTCTCTCTCTCTCACGCATGCGTGCAGGTGTGCCTGCAT